TGCCTCCTTTCTTTGTTTGTTTTACAAATAGCAACCTCAATTTTGCATTTCTGTCCCTGGATCCCAAACAATGCCAGGACACTTCTGTATCAGATGGAAGCCCATCCTCCTGGTTTGAGAGTGAGGAATTACAATTACCAAAATACGCTGATTTTCAGCACTCCTCTTAGGAAAAAAATATGTCATTATTAATATAAAAATTTATATAATAATTTATTTGCTGTATTTCTAATTTGACATCCCCTCTGATCTTGATTTCATTTTCACATGGTAACTTTGATTCTTTTCTCTTTCTATTTTAAAATACCTCAGGTTACTTCAGGCACAGATTTTTTTGGTCAGTAGGTGACCTCAGCTGTTGCTATCATCAGCTGGTGCTCAAACCAGCAATATCTACTGGGCTCACATTTCCTCTGGGCTGTTCCATGTGGTTAGAGAAGTTGTGTTCCCAAATCAAGAGTATGGGATACTCTCCCTGCCTCTCCTCCTCTGTTCTGTGGGAAGTTCCATCCTGGTGGGTTCCTGTTTTGGGTGGGTTCCTGAGCAGACACGAGCCACGTGCCCTGCACGTGCTGCTCTGGCATTCCCCTGCCAACACTCCATCGCTTTTCTGCAAAGCTGTGCTTGCCACGTCGGGCCTGGCAGGGCCTGGAATGAGCCATTTCCTTCACATCTCCTTTGCCTGTAACAATCTTGAACTTGTTGACCCATGTGCCTATTAATTATTGATATAATGATGCATTATTTAGGCTTGTTTCAGCAGACGGATACATTATTACTAGGCAGACATTTGCCAGACAGGCTGATAGATAGCATCCTAAAAAAAGTCTCCAGTTGCCTTTGTACAATAAAGGCCTGTAACTTCATTACTTTCCTCCCAACCCCCTCCTCTTCAGACCATGAAACCTTAATAGGAATCTAAGTGTAATAATGATCTCTGTAGACAACGGGCTTAATCTTGACTGTGTTGGAGTTGTGGTCCTGATGTTGGTCAGGCCTCAAAAATACAGAGGAAGTCGCCTTCACCAATCTTCTAAAGCTGGGTTTCCTATTGTACAATGAAATTATTTTGTTTTTCAACCCCTTTCCGTGGAAAGGAGAACCGATTTCTCCCTTGGTTGCTACGAGCTGTGTTGCAACACTCCGGAGCTGCAGGCAGAGCTTGATGTGTATCTCCCAGGGAAACCTGCCTTTGATTTTGTCTAGGGATGCAAGGAAAAGGCGTATCAAAATGAATTATCTGTAATTTAAAACAGGCGTGCGGAGCATTTGGAGCCTTTGGAACTGCGGCGTGGCTGCAGCTGAAGGGAGAGGAGGGAGCCCAGCCTTGGTGGGAGCTGCTGGGACGGGGAGCAGAGCGGGTCCCTGCTGGGGCTGGGCACGGGGCAGCTGCTCACGCCTGCTGGGCCCTCCTTCCTCCTCCTCTGCTGGCCTTCCTCCTCTGCTGCCCTCCTTTCTCCTCCTCTACTGCCCTCCTTCCTCCTCTGCCGCCCTTTCTCCTCCTCTGCTGCCCTTCCTCCTCCCCTGCTGCCATCCTTCCTCCTCTGCTGCCCTCCTTCCTCCCCTACTGTTCTCCTTCCTCCTCCTCTGCTGCCCTCCTTCCTCCTCCCCTGCTGCCCTTCCTCCTCCTCTGCTGCTCTTCCTCCTCCCCTGCGGCCCTTCATCCTCCCTTGCTGCCCTCCTTCCTCCTCCTCTGCTTCCCTCCTTCCTCCTCCCCTGCTGCCCTTTCTCCTCCTCTGCTGCCCTCCTTCCTCGCCTACTGTTCTCCTTCCTCCTCCCCTCCAGCCCTCCTTCCTCCCCTGTGCTGCCCTCCTTCCTCCTCCTCCTCCTCCTCTGCCCGCAGCCTTCTCAGTGTCGCAGCCGCCTCCAGCTCTGATGTCAGAGCCGCGCTCTCCACACGCCGTCCCTTCGAAAGCAGAAGACGCACAAAAAGAGGAAGGAAAGCAGACGAAGGACAAGAACTGCAGACTCGAGTGGTACGAGTCTGACGGCTCGTTTGATTTCCAGGGGCTTCCTCAGAAGAAACAGTTCTGGGGAAGCAATTTCAGAAAGAATCAGCTGCTGTGTGATCTGACACTGAGTGCTTCATGCCGTGTGGGCACCTGCTGCAGCCAGACCCACACTGGGGTTCTCCTGCTGACACCTTGGGTGCTGTGCTGAATGTTTGCATTCTTTGTGAGTCGCTTCTGTCTCATTTCTGATCCCCTGCTACGGCAGAGCCAGGAAAAGCTCCCTTAGTGCAACCCCAACTTGACCAATGTGTTTGTCCCCCCTGCTCAAGGCCATTCCCCTCGCTATGTGCTCACACTAATATTTTCTCTGGCTTTCAGGAGCACCAGCCACACTGCTCCCCTTCCACAAAGCCAGGATCTCACCCTCAGAATGTGTTAATCTCTTCATTTCCCCCTGTTCAGCCACACTTCCAGAAGTCCAGTCTTGTTCAGCTCTTCCAAAGGGACCCTTTGGGTCTGTCCAAAACTATTAACAACACTTAACTATTAAAACAATATCTGAGAAAACCTGCATCGATTTCCTGACTGCTGCACAGTGTATTGTGTGTCTTGGTCAGCAGCTTCAAGATGTCCAGGTTTGCTCCAGCTCATGCCTTCTCCCCTGATTTATGCAGTCTGTCTTATTCCTGCTGACATTTTGTTGTTCTTTGTCCAGACAGCTCAGTGAGGGACTGTCATCATCTCGTTTGTCAACTATCTCCTTCATCCAGTCTGTCCATCAGGCAACCATCATTATCAGGCAATCCCAGCCTTCCACGAGACACTTCCCAGCCCTTTTAACTTGTAAAATGGTTTTCCTGAGACCTTTTTTTTTTCCCCAGTGGTCCTCCATTTGAATGGATGAGCACCAGAGTTTAGCAGCCCTCCCTTGTAGTCCTGGATAGGATGGAAGAATTTATTCTGTCACCTGTTGTGGATTTTATCTCTGTGTAGGGACAGGGAAGCTGCTAACTCCCACACTCAAATCAAATTTTAAGTCTGACATGAATAAATGTGTAAAATGCAAGTCCCTAACACTGAATACACAAACTCTCTGTAGACTGTCTAAATTATTTCAGGCTAGTTTACTGAAATTAAATTACATAAAAGTCATACAAAGCATCACATTGTTATGTAAAACTCTACAAAGCAAGTGCTGTGATTTTAACTGAGTTGAACAAATAAAAAATTAAGTGTAATTTTTGTTCGGGGCCATGTGTTAGCTTTTGAAAACAAAAAGGAAATAAATGAACCAAGTCACACAAAACATATGTCTGCAGAATAATGATAAAATATATACTGGACATCTTGGAAGTGTGGTTTTAATTCTTGCTGGTGTTGTGGCTGGAGGCTTTTGTTGTGCAAAAAGGCTACCCTGTGTTCATTTTACAATACAGTATGTTTTTTATTCCTACTGCATCAGGAATAATGTAATCCTCTTGGAACAACATGGAGGGTTCTGGGTCCTTCAGCTGAGACACCTTCCTGGGAAGTGCTGGGAATGTGCAAAAGTGCTGCTGGCTGTGGTCATCCAGCCAGGCTGTGGAGGAGACTGGCTTGGGGTACCAAACCATGAACTTTGTGGCCATGAATTCCAAGGAAAGGTTTGGCTGTGAGCAGCTGGATTTGAGCAGTCTCACACAGAAGTTCTGACGCTGCGCCCTCAGGGTCGCTTTGTTAAAAAAGCCGTGTGAGAAGTTTCTGCATTCCCTATTGTGTGCATGCTGCTTTTGGGAAGAGAGGAGTGCTGGTGGTGGCTCTGGCCATGGCAGGAAGGCTCTGGCAATGTCTGGCTGGAAAGGCACTTGTCTCTCCTGGCACGTTGCCGTGGCCGAGTCCCCGAGCGCCGCGTCACGTCCCTGTCCCTCCCAGGGCAGCGCAGTCGTGGGGCGTTGCTGGCAGCGTTCAGGGCATGGGCCAACCCTGTAACAGCTTAATTAGCTCTTCCTCGTTAAGCAGGATTTCATAACGTAGGTACACGTGTTCAGCTGTCAGCTCCATTCTTGCAACAAAAGGAAAACCAAAGCGGTAATAAATAGAGAATATTGCACAAGCCAATCTCCAAATAATGGCATTGGGTGGAACACGAGAATTAGGAGCTGTGGCTACAAAGCAGATTGGTGCTTCCTATTCCTCCAAAAAACACAGCTCTTCAGCAGCCAAGGGGGGTATTGAAAGCCTGGAGATGCCTTTGCTTCCCTCCTGGTGCTCCTGATCCAGGTCTGTGGAAGTGAGGAACTGAGCCCCATGCCTTGTCCTTTCCCTCTGACACCTGGTTTAGTTCCAGAGCACTGAGAAAAACCCTGCAAATTCACCCTCCTGCTCCCTGCTGTGAGAGCCCCTGACACTGCACAGGCCTTTGAGCTCCCAGGTCATGAAGAACTGAGTAACCAGGCACTGACGTTTCAGTATTATTTTGAATGGCTGTAGAAAGAGACTCCTAAATGCGTAGATAAATCAAGCATTAAAAATAGAGGCAAAATTATTGAAAAAAGATGGAAAAGTTACTTTGAAAAATTACCCATATCAATTTTTAAAGGTCTTAGCTTAGATTTAGTAGGTAGTGATTCATATTTGTAGCATTTCATTGTATCCCATGGAATATTTTTTGGTGAAGGCAGGTTAACATGACCAGTAGATGCGTATTCATCTCTCAGTACATTTGTATTGAAAATATGAGTAACTGAAATGATTAATACCATTCCAGATTTCTTCAAACAACATTACGCTACAAATGCCTTATTTTTAAAACCCAGAATTTTCTTCAGATGTTTATTTTTGAAACTGTGGTAGTATTGCATACCTAAAATATGAATGGTGGAATGTTCTCATAATAGCATATACTATATGCAGGCTTCTAAAATATAAAGGCTTCCAAAAGCATATTGCAAAATTTAGATTTTGAAGCACCAAGTTCCTACAGTACTGTCCAAACTAGAGACTAGATCAAAAAACTAAACTAAACTAAACTAAAATAAAAATAATACTGAATGTGAGTCTTTTTTACAGATGTCACTGAGACAACTTTCTCTGACTTCATTATTTACATGCCAGCACCACAGAATTCTGGAAAAAATAAGGAGAAGGGGTTCTTCAGGACAGAGGTAAGAGATACCTGAAATACCAGTTCCAGAGTGATTCTCCTCAGCCCCAGCTTTGCTGTGCTTTTTCCTGGGAACTTCTGTGGCTTAGGCAGGGAGTTGTCCTGATGGATCATTGCTGTGCCCCACAGCTGACCCCAAGCTGTCCTGAGTCACACACTGTGGATGGCAGCATGTTGGGACAGGGCAGAAAGGGCCAAAAATCATGCAGCAGTGTGGGGGTGTGGGACAAACCCAGTTTCAAAACTTTGGTGCCTCCATTTAAGGGTGTTTTGGCTGACAAGACCCATTTGAAGCTCTTGTCCCTGACTGGATTTTTGCAGAAGTGCCTGACACTTAATGGTGGCACAACTGCAATCCCTAGGACTTTCTTCCTTCACAGACTGAAGTTATGACCCCATTTTGCTTGTAAATTAACTTGGATTATCACCTAGGTCAAATAGTGCTCTTGATCAAAATGTTACTGACAAATTTGTTGTTTACTTGAATCTAGACATAAACATGACCTTTGAACACTGTGAGGAAGAAGCTCTTTTTTCACATGCATTTTTCACCAGAAAAACAAAAACTTGGATATGATTTTATCCACAATTGTTTGCTTAATTATTAACATATTTTTTTAATGCAATAGTAATGTTTTGTGGGGGAAGGAGGGATAATTTTCTGGGCAGTTCTATTCTGAACTGAACTCATCTGACATGGATATAATCAAGATTTTACAACTACTTCAATGAATCAGTGCAGGAGGGAATAATTTACACTCCCCTGGAAGTGGGAATGCTGCACAGGCACCATCATCAGGGATACTCAACTGAACTTCAAGAAGAATGCTGTTAAGCTTTTTGCATTAATTATGCTTAGACCCATCTCTCTAGTGATACTGGGGCTAATTTTTAATTGATACCCTTAAATCAATTCCTTCATGGACAGGCAGTGGTTGATGATGAACTCTTGGGGAAGGGAAGCCAATATTGTCCTGTCAGCAGTAAGGTACATTATAGCCCTCGCTGTACATCTCCTCCTGATGTGTTTTGATGGTGCTCATTTCTCCTGGCATGCTTTTAGCTCCCAGGGATTCAGATGTGTCAGCTACTATAGCTGTAGGAAAACATTGATGATGGATTTATAACACTCAGACTTCAACTAGTGACCTGAAAAATGGCTGTGGATTTGCTTTTGCAGCAAAATTGGTTTTGCCCATACAAACCTCTTGCTTCTTAAGTTCCCTTATCTGTATTTTAATGAAACATTTTATCCTGGGTATAATTCATGACTCTTGTCAGAGTAAGTTTTCTCAATGAGGCATAGTTGGGGTAGCTACTGAATTTATGGGAAGGAATCAACTTAATCTCTTTAAAAGCAAAGTTGTCTTCTGGCGTGTCAATTGAACTCTACAGAATAATAGTTCTGAAATATCTCCCTGTCTGTGGGAAGGAGGGGTTTCTCTGGCACAGAGATGCTGGAGCTCTGTCAGGGCAATGGTTGGCCAAAGTTGTACTCCTGAGCCAGCCATTCCAGCAAAAACCTTGATGGAATATTAAATAATGAATTAAATGTATCTAATATTTATTTTCCATCTCTGTTCTCCCATTGGAGGGGGAGGTCCCAGGGACAGTGTGAGTTCTGAGCTGTTCACGCTGGATTTTTTGGAAGCTTTACTGAATCTCCTGAGAGAAAAAAGGATCTGCCCAACGGCAATCCCACTGGATGAAGTTAGGAGATGTTGGGTCAATTTCAGCTTTTCAGATTATGGATTTTCCTGTGTCCTTGGATTAGCTATTCAACCTGTTTTTTCTCAGTTTCCCATCTGCAAAATGGGACTGACAGTATTTCCCTCACTGACAAGGAACAGGCCTCTGTTTAGGTACTATCCCAAACTGGAGGATAGATCTGGGATATGTTCTTGGACTTCTTGTTTTGTCTCAAGTAAAGAGGGTTTCCCACATGCAAGTGAAACATGATCTCTGTCCTACAGCCATATTTTTGAGGACTAACTGGATTAGGGAGTACAAGTAAAAGGAGCAGCATTTTAAAATTATTTCTGTGCTGCAAATCAGTTTAAGTGTTTTGAAGTTTCATAAGATCATCCCCTGTGGATGTCAGACAGAAGGAGCCAGGTTATTTGGCTTTGAAGTACATCAGAAAGTGGCTTCTTCCCTCCCTTCCCCAGCAATTCCTCTAATATTTCTTCCATCCCACAGGGAGAATTCAGGCTTCCCCCGGAGCACCTCGGAGTGCATCCCTAGCAGAGTCACGGGGATGTTGTAGCATGTAATTCATAACCAGAAACACTTCCCTTGTGGACAGGTTCCTGGACACACCCTAGACTGAGGGCAGACAGCTGTGGTTTTCCTTCGGTTTCGGGAAACTGGGATAACCTCCCTCCTGCAAGTCCCTCATGGACACGTTTGGCTCCTGGCACCCGCTGCTGCAGTGGTGAGTGCAGAGCAGGAGTTACTGAGCAGTGAACAGGCAGAAATCAGGCAGAAGAGCAGGATGCTCCAACGTGCTCCTCTCCTTGAACCTTTAGCATTTCATCTGACAATTCACTCTGTCCTTGGCCTCTGGATTGAAGCACCACTTACCAGAATGGGTTTAGTGGGATCAACCTCTCAGGAAGCACAGTGGGAGCAAAGGCCCTCTGGCCATGGTCAGTCGATTGGTTTGGTCAGTACCACTGGATGATCTGGATGTCCACCCAGTTCTGGTGGGCAGGACAGTGAATAAAGGAGCTCTTCTCTCCTGGAGGAGACTGAAAGCGTTTGCATCCTCACAAGGGATGAACAGGCCAGAGAGAGCAGAACTGCTTCAAGGTGCTCAGCTTTGTAAGTGGTGCAGAGCCCTGTTCCTTGGCCTGAGGAGACTGCAGAGCCCAGAAAAGGCTGCTGCTGTTTGTGGGGAGAAGGAAACTGACCCCAATTCCCTGCCCATCCCCACCCCATTGACTGAGCCCCTCCAGCCTCCTCGCAGGGGCCCCAGCCACTGCTCTGCTCTGTGGGAGCTGTGCCGGGAGTTCCTACCTCTTGTTTACAGCTCCCTGCTCAGACCTGGTGTCTGCTTTCTCCTCTCAGCTAATTTGCAGACAGAGGCCTCGAGGGCTTTGGGTTGGTGCCACCAGACTCCTGCGAGCTCCAGCGGTCGTGTTCTTTCCCAGACAATGACTTCAGTAGCCTCCGGGCACCCCAGAACCTCCTAACAAACATCTCTCCTAACTGCCTTATTAACTGATTGCTCTAGTAAGATAATAATTAACACCCTTACTTGTGCCTTGGCTCAGCCAAAAATATTCTCAAGTGGACTTAGAAATGCATAAAATGAATAAATGATTTATGTTTACTATTTTTAATGGAGCTACTTATTAGCAATGCTCTCATACAGAGCACCATAAAAACACTCCTGGTTTCGTTACAGATTTAGAAGGTGGTAATGAAAAGCTGTAGGGAATAGAATGGGGAAACACTCCTTGAGCCAAATTCTGCTCTCAGTTGTATTTAAAGGTCTTGCTGAGTTAAAATCTAGAGAGGATTTTGCCCAGAAAACCATTAAAATAGAGACAAATCTCTGTCATCTGCTGATTGCAGCTCAGCCATTCAGAACATGTCCCAGCCAGGAGAAGGGTGCCTGCCCTGTCAGTATAGACTCAAAAACCCAAGGGCAGGATGTGTCTCTGTGGAGCAGATCAGCCAGGCTGTGTTTACACATGCACTCAATGTTCCTGACCCTACCAGGCTTGAGACAGTTGGAATTTCACCATGGCAGCCTGCAGGAGTTGTGCTGGCTTCAGGATGCCTCCAGCACCTCTGACCTTGGTGGGAAAATGGGAAGATTCATGCTGCAAATTTTCACTAATATATGTTGTTCCTTACTAAAATCACTAATTAGGATCACGTGGTGGACTTCAGAGAGAGCCCTGACACAGTTTTCGGGACATGAATGCTGTGCCTTGTGCTATTGCTGGGTGACAGGAGTGCCACCCTTCATCCATGTCCTCCATGTCCTCCACATGGAAGTGAAGGTGCTGCCCTTTGTGTTTAAGGTCTGGGTGCATTTAGGAGCCTTGACAGGTGGGAATGGAGCAGGTGAACTCTTCACAGTGGTGAGTTTACTCTGATTTGATTCTCCAGCCACAAATAGTGTTTGCTGTTCTGTTGCTGAAACGAAGCCGTGGGTTCCATCCACACTGTCCCCACATTTGTCTGACCAATCACCTCAATCACATTGTTTTATTCCAGCTCAAAGGGGAGTCCCAAGCCCTGCTTCCCACTTGCTTTCCAAGCTCTGTGGATTTCTGTTCAGTGAAGATAGTGGTGCAGGCACATATCCAGCTGGTCTATACTGAGATCCATATTTAATATTTAGGATATTTCCTTTTGCATCCACTCTACCCTAAAAATGCTCATAGAGCACTTTTGCAAATACATTTAAATACCTGCAAATATTTTCCTGCTCTCTTTGCTCATATCTCCTGTGAGAATTAATAATGTTCATCAGCTGAAGTTCTCCAAAGAATTGGCAGTGCCTGATTTTTGTCTGGACAGGACAGGATTTCAGCACTGCCTGAGAAATCAGAGCGCTTGAAGGTGCTGGAAGTGCCACATCATTAATCTCTGGAGATCCTAGAGATTTTTCCAAACTTCCATTCTTTCACTAATGTGTAAATGAACATCCTGTGGATATTATCAGCATTTCTGGGGCAGTGTTATCTGTCAGTCCCACACCAGCTAAAGGCTACAGACCTGCACTTGTCATGAAGAAATACTGGATTTTAAGATAACTCCCATACTGACCCTGCTGATGTTTCTTAAAATGATGTATTGCTATACTTTTTTTAATTTTCAGAAATAAAAATGAGTTTGCTTCAGGGCAGAGACAGTCTAAAAGCCTGTGCTAATAAATCTCTGCAAGTTTAGTAGTGTTTAATACATATTCTGCTTCAAGTGCTTTTTAAATGCTTTATCACCTTTAAGTAAATACAGTGGAAGGCTGCCAAGTGGCTGGATGCTGC